TGAAGTAAGGACCCAGCTCCCATTCCGCGCTTTGAGGGGTACCTGGATTAGGTTGTAGAGGGGTCCGACGTCCGGGCTGCCGTGAGGAAAGGCGGCTGAAAAGCGACTGCGCAGGCCTTTGGTTAGTCCAGTGTGTCATTGGAAACTAAACCAGACTTGAATGCTGGTGCCCAGGTCCTCTGCTTTCCTAGGTGCCCGCACTGAAGAAGCGTTTATTGCATCTAATAAGAGAATATTCAAGACTAGTCACAATTACTCAGTACTCAACAGGCACGGAGGAAATTGAACTTTATCATTTGCAGCCATTTAGCTGTTAGGGGTTGGCGGTAATTGCTGCCACTTATTTGTACAGCTTCTGCTTCCAAGAAGCAACTTCAAGGGATAAAAGGAAACGATGAGGTCTAAAATGTTGGTACTGACAGCATCCTGTGGTGAGATGCTTGTTTTATTAATTTTGGTAAGTGCCTAATGTAATCATTAAAGCTTTCTTGGGGATTCTTTCCCAAATACTTCACTGGATGGGGTTATAAAATAACAGTCATCTTTTTCAGAATAAATAAGTTGCACTTCATGTGTTGTTTTTGCATTGTGAACTCATAACTTTTTAATAGATAAAGGAATCTTGTTCTTTAGATTTGGAAGTGTTTTGCTCTAGATAGGTTATTGTTCTGAATTTTGAATGTGCCAACGTTCTTCAGATGATAGTGTAGCATCTTTGTAGGATACCGCCAGTGAAGGAAGGGAGCGTGGAGAAAATAAATATTACAACAAGAAAAGATTTTTCCACTTGAAAAGGCATCCTGGGTGCATTTGCAGAAGAGATCTGTGTGTTTTCCTCAGAAATGCTGATGTCCCTGTATCATGGGGGGGGTGTTTTTGGTTTTGGTCTTTTCTTTGGGTTTTTTATTTTTGGTCAGATGATCTCCAAACTTAGGCCTCTTGCTTCCAAATTAGCTTCCAGCATGTGAACCTGAGAGCTGGCAAGTAGCCTTACGAGCCATAGGGTCTGGCAGAATGCTTATTTGGGGGATTAGTGTCTGCAGTCTGCAATCTCCACAACCACAAACTAAGATGTGTTTCAAAGCCAAACAAAAAATATATCCTTATAAAAACAAAACCAAGAATTAATGTAGCGAAACTTGGGGATTTCTGAGTGATGATATTATAGCCAAATCCTCTTGCCAAGATGCAGTCCTTCTTATGGTTTAGACATAAGACAATATAGATGATGCAGAAATAATTTTTTATTTAAAATACTTGCTGAGAAAAAAAATCTTTCATGTTATATGGTCTGGTGGAGTAGCCAGGTGGCTAGCGAAGGGCCTCTCATGATCCTTATGTGCTGCAGAAGTCCGGTTTCCACAAGCTTGGTTGAATCAACTTATTATGAAAAAAATAAATTCAAGAAATGCATTTATTTACTTGAAATGAATTAAGATTTTTGTGGGTATGATAAATTTTATCTCGAATTTAGACACAAGTATGTTTCAGCTGCATGAGTAGCCATATCTCCGTTAGCTTCAAAATGGCCATTGACTGAGCTTAAATGGAGCTGTGATAGGTTTGCACACTCATATGTTGTCAGCTTTGTTTCTGTCGGTGCATTGCTTAACTAGGATGTGACATACAGAGCCTTGATTTTAAAATACTTGATAAGAATAAATAGAAAATGCTAACAGTAATACATCTGGTTTTAATTTTGGCCTTTTTTAAGGTAGAATCATTAAGAATTATTTTACTTTTTGTTTTGCTTAGGGCTCAGAGATGGATTCATCAGAACGATCAACAATTAGAAGTGAGCAGAAATCCAGGTAACTTGTGTTGCAAAGGTTATACAAAACCATCTCTTAATGAAAATCTGAAAACACAGTGGAAGTACATTACTGGAAACTGGATACGAGAACGACATCATGCTTGAAAACTTGAAATGATCCCAGAAACTAGGTTCTCCACTGCCCGAGTGCTTCATACTCAGTTAAGCTGTTCGTGAGGAATGAGTAATATACTTGCTGAGAGAAAACAATTTGTGCTGAATGTAGCAGGAAGGCATGGGAATTATGAGCAACATATTCTTTGTAGGCATCAGCTAGCAACCTTACCTACGTGTTTATTAATTGCTTTGCCTGAGGCCATTTCGAGTTAAACATTACAGCTTTAGCTAGATAGTTTCAGATCATTGTGAAATAAGAGGTGTTAAACATCCATATTACCAGATTAACAGGAATTAAAAATCTGTAAAGGTAGTTTTGAAAGTCAAGGGAATTCTGAGGTTCTGTATTAGTGAAATCCTTGTTTGTATACGGTGATTTCACTGTGTGGTTTAAGTACATTTTCATTTCTTTGCAAAGTAATCATGAAAGCCAGGCTTGCTCGACAGTTTCTTGTGCTGGCTTGGGCAGCGAATACTGACGTAGAACCAAATGTGCCTTTGAGAGTAATCTGTGGTTAGTAACATCTGAATAGTGGGCTAGATGTACCCTTGATCTGAACAAGCACGACTGTTCTCATGTTCATGTATCCTAAAGTAACATCTGAATAGTGGGCTAGATGTACCCTTGATCTGAACAAGCACGACTGTTCTCATGTTCATGTATCCTAAAGTAAGAATAAATGAGAAGAAAAGATACTGCTTTTTCCCAGAAAAACAAGAATTTCTTTGAAATACTGTGACTTGTCCCTTTGAAATAGTTCTACTTACTTTCTGTCAGACATGTATTAAGTAAATTATTGGACAGTCCTTTGACTACTTTTTTCAAGATTTCATTTGAAATGGTGTTTGGCTAGCCCAGTAGACTGAAAATTGGTAATTGTCAGTTTGGATCTCAAACACATTAGCGATTTGAAGTCGTTGCCATTTTTTGGCTTAAATTAATTATGTACAGTTACTCGTCTAAAATGACAGCGAGCCTTGAAGTACATTGTCGGTTTGGGGAAGGCTGTGAACTGCTGCCAATACCATTCTTCTGCGCAGAAATGGAGAACTCGGTTCCTTTTGGCTGGTTAGTATTTTGCACAAGTGGTAATAGTTCATATGGGCTTCTCGAGTCAGTCATGAGATCTTCAGACACGTTAGAAAATGCACTGTAAAAAATGAAGATTTTTGTTTTCTGTTTTCAAGAAAATTCTTAAAAAGTCTAATAAGGAAGCAGCCTCGGGACCTTCTTCTTGTGATTGGAACTGGGGTAAGTGCTGCAGTAGCACCAGGAATCCCAGCGCTGTGCTCCTGGAGAAGCTGCATTGAGGCTGTAATTGAAGCAGCTGAACAACTGGAGGTGCTTCATCCGGGAGATGTTGCTGAATTCCGTAAAAAAGTAATCAAAGATAGAGACCTGCTTGTGGTTGCCCATGATCTCATCAGGAAAATGTCACCAGTGAGTATGTTTATAACTTACATTGATTTCTAACCTTATTATATACTTTTACTTTGTTACCAACAAAAATTCTTTTCAGCTTTCTAAAACTTGAAATTTTTCTGGCAAAAATTGAAAATTTGATGGTAGTCATATACTACACTGTACATTTTGGAGAGGCTAAAAAGTCCTTGATAATCACAGAATCGTTTAGGTTGGAAAAGACCTTTGAGATCATCAAGTCCAACCGTTAACACAGCACTGCCAAGTCCACCACTAAACCACGTACCTAAGCACCACATCTATCTGTTCTTTAAATACCTCCAGGGATGGGGACTCAGCCACTTCCCTGGGCAGCCTGTTCCAGTGCCTGACAAATGTTTCTTGGATATGAAAGCGGAATTTATAGCTCTGCTGGCTAAAACTAGAGATACCCTGAAAATATGGGTAGACCTTGACCCTGCTGATAGCCTTAGATCACACAGACTTAATCACCGCTGCAGCTCGCACTTCACTGAGGACAGGCCATACAGACCCAGTTTCTCAGCCGCTCATCTTAGGTTCCAGAGATTTTCCGATTGTGTTAACAGGTTTGCCAAGTCTTCTAGCTGAAATAATCAGAGTGACATACACACTGCGAAGTTGTAGGGTGTGTTAAGCATTTTGCAGCACGTGGTGAGCTTCTTTACAGGCAAAGTGTAGGTAATAACAGCCTCTCTCTTTTGGGAGGAGTCTGCATGTATGGTTAGGCTTTGTAGCAGATTTAATGATTCATACATTTTTTTCTCAACCAGGAAGAAAAAAAACAAACACCAAACCCATTAATAGACTCTGAATCCAGGGAATGATAATTTTGGTACACCAACTGATTTTCAAAGCAGTAAAAGCATACTGAGAAAGGTGAGGTTTCCATGTAGTTAGGCCAGTAACTATATTGGGCTTATAAACAGACATTTGTTCTGTGTGTAATACAATTTATTGAATAGGAAGCCTGTATATTTTATAGAACCGTTACACGTTCCTGTCAGTCTCAGCAGATACTCTGGGGAAATGCAGCCTATGCTTTTAGGACAGCATACCTTCGTGTTTGTTTAGAAGTGACGAGTGAGGATTTAACTGTATCAAGCCAGTTTTGTTTTATTGCACCTGTATTACAAGCTGTCTTGAGAAAACCAGACTATTGTTTTGAGCTGCATTAAGTGGAGGCAAGAGCACCTGAATAATTTGAGATTGTTTTTGATGGTTTTGTACATTCAGACCTTTATGCTTTGTATACTATGTAAGCCCTCTTCTAAAGACATGATTTGGCATTAAGCAGACAAGTGATGTGGGTTCTCGGTTGGAGGCAGTTACAACGGTACACGTGGTCCTTATGAAGTGTTCATCTTTTTCTTTCTTCAGCGTACTGGGGATACGAAGCCCAACTTCTTCCAAGATTGCTTAATGGAGGTGTTTGATAATTTAGAACAACACATTCAGAATCCTGTTGTTCTGCAATCGATCCTGAGACTCATGGAGAGAGGCACAATGGTTCTGACTACAAACTATGATAATTTACTTGAAATATTTGGTCAGCAACAGGGTAAACCTATGGAATCTTTAGACTTGAAAGACAAGGATAAGGTATGATGAGAGCAGAAAAAATTTTAGACTTATTGTAAGAAAAGGCAGCTCGTAAGCTCCATTGAAAGATTTTTTTTTCCTGTTTAAAGAGTGCCAAGGCTAAAACTTCTTGATTGGTAAAGCACTTCTGTAAGCTAACAGCAGATGCACAGGCATTTATTTTATGTCTCTTTTTATTCTGAATAATCTGGTAACAGTTACCAAAGAGAATTTCAGTGACACGCTTATTAACCAGTTCCCCCCCTGCTCCCTGGAAAAAACCCACAATTTATTTAACTTACGCAAAGTAATTCTTACAATCGTAAATATGATTTCACCTAGCTGGTAGTTAATTTGCTGTTCATATCTTTTCTGTCAATGTTGCTGGAACTTGCTTCTTGGTTGAATGCTTGTTGAGACCAAAAAGCCAGATATCTCCAGTATCGGCAATCACCTCTTTATTATAATTTGAAGTAAGCTGTGTAATTATCAATTAAAATTATCTCTTGCTGCAGAAAAATGCAAAAGAAGTTATTTCTGCTTTAAGTGGTTTTATAAGTAAGTTAGGACAGCTGTGTATTTTTGGAGAATCTCAGTTATTGTAGTGTATTATAGCAAAAGAATGTAACATGCATGATTTGCTTTAGGTTCTTCAGTGGGCAAGAGGCCATATAAAATATGGAGTTCTTCATATTCACGGCTTATATACAGATCCCTGTGGAATGGTGCTAGATCCCTCGGGATATAAAGATGTTACTCAAGATCCTGAAGTCATGGTTCGTATGATCTTTAAAATTTTTACTATGTTTTGCCAAACTGTTTTATTGTAATCACTGCACACATGTTACCTAAGGCTAGGGTTTTGTCAGATCATATAAATTAAATAATTGGAGCCCAGAAGAATGGCCAGCTATGTCGCTTGGGCAATATGCTCTTGTATACTGCTTCTTTGTAGACCACAATCAAACCCCTCAGCTGCACGTCGTAGTTTTAGACTTCTTTGGATTTATCTCATGAAAGAACATTAGCCCCAAAATACTATACACCAGAACAAGGATTCATCACCATCTGATTGCTTGGATTCACTTTTTAGGGGCTTAAGCTGTTATCAGCTCTGGATCCTGGACTTGATGTCGTATCTTCAGCATTTTAAGAAGTCAAACATTTAATCAAGAATATTAATTTTCCTTATTTACAGATTGATCTAACAGGAGCCTAATATTCTGTCATCATGATTCTTTCAAATTAAAATTCCCTTACTGGAAATATTCACATGTGTACTTAATTTTGCATGGTAACTTTGATTTTGAATGTAATTTTTTTTTGTAGAAACAGTGCTTATGAAATGTCAGTTTGCCCTGATCCTAAAACATACGCTTAATTCAGTTCAATATTGATGTCTGCTCTGCTTCTCCTTTTAAGTCTGACGTATTTTGAAAGTTCTTACCTTGGCCTTTTGATTACTGTAGTAAATGTAGCTCTTGTGTGTTTATATTTCTTAACAGGAAGTTCTTCAAAATTTGTATCGAACCAAGTCTTTTTTGTTTTTGGGCTGCGGAGAGACTCTGCGTGATCAGATATTCCAAGCTCTTTTTCTTTATACTGTGAAGAATAAAGTCGATTTAGAACATTATATGTTGGTGCTTAAAGAAAATGAAGACCACTTTTTTAAGCTACAGGCAGATATGCTGCTGCACGGAATAAAAGTAGTGTCCTACGGGGACTGCTTTAAACAATTCCCAGAGTACGTAGAAGATCTGACTGCTCAAATCTGCAAGCAGAGAAGTCCAGGTAACGCATCCTCTTTAATAAGAAAATTTTGAGTAGGTGCGTAGCAGGATGCCGTGTCTGAACAATCAGCAGTCGGTCTGAGGTGTTGACCTCGTGCGCAGCTAGCAGTAGGCCTGTGCAGCATCTTTGCTTATGAATGGCATGCAGTTGGAACACGTGACAAAATTGTAACCAAATTTCTTTCTGTGAGGTCTGTGGATTCTTGCAAATTTAATCTTTAATTCTGAATTTGTCTTTTTGTTAGCATTTGGTTAAGATGTTTACTTTGTGTATATTTTTGGTGTGAACTACTCCCCTATATTGAGTATTACATTATATAAAATATGACATGTCAGTAAAAGAGACTAACAGAATTGAAGGAATTAACTGGTGGGATAAGCTGGTTGAGCCACAATATCTGAGTAAGCGTAGAATGGGAAATTAAGTCCGTACACCCAATAGTGTTTGGCTTAACACAGTTAGGGCTAACGGGGAGAAAACCTGAGTGTGAGGATACTATTTTGTGACAATAGAATAGAAGAGGCTGTGGAATAATACTCCATTTGTGAAAGTGAATGGCATTCTGTAGAGGGTGTTTAATGGTAAAATGGGAAATAACTCGATACCTTTGCTGAAGGTAACAGTTCTGCATTGACAGGGAGCTAAATTTTACTAACTAGGTCCATTCGCCTACTTCCCCCGCCCCGCTCCCTTCCACCCTGTCGTCTTTCAACTCATAAAATTCCTTAGCTGTAACAATGAAGAGCCTTTAATACAAAACCAGGGAAAAACACCACCTGTATGTTGAAGGAAAGAGATTTCTTTAATGTTTTCCAAAGAAGGACAGTTTTACTATTGCTTATCCAGACAACTGAGGAAAATGACTGGAGTAAATGACCTTAGGAAGAATACTGGTTCACAGCTCTTCTATTTATCATGTCAGTGAAACTGTTTTGTCTAAAATTATTCCCAAGTGGTGCATAGCAGGAGCCTTCCCACTGCCCTCCCTAAAAGAAAATTGCAGGTGTATGCCCAGATTTTGTAATGTTTTTTGTAAGTGGATGAATATTACATTTAGACTGGATTAGATTTTTCCTTCCATGAAGGCTAGAGAAAATACTTAGCACAGCGTCTAGGTTTCAGGAAGTTTGTCTGCGGTACCTTAAAAGTAAGTTGGGGTGCAATTTCAGACACTGAACTAGCCTCAGCCTGCTAGTTTGTTCTTTGACATACTGCTGTTGATGGGTGTGATGGACAGACTTTTCATAGTCTGAGCAGTGTTGTGGTGGTGCATTCCCCTCCCCCTTTTCTTCTGGTGCACCTGGCAGAGCATGGGAAGCAAAGCCTGTTGAGTCTGGAGTATCCAATTTATTGCAAAGCAGCCACTGATACCAAAACAGGGCGGGAGATACATTGACCTAAGCTCTAAATGGAAATGACTGCAAGATCAGACTGTAGTGCTCCCCTTTTCGCTCAGTGAATTACTGATTGGCATAATACTTGCAAGAAGAGGGACCTTACTCTGATTTCAAAATCTTCTTGATCTCGTTTACAAGTCAAGATCCCAAACAAAACTATTTTCAAATGTGCCTAACAGCTCTTCACATTACAAAACTGTTAGGTTTCTTTTTTTTCCATGCTTATTTACAAACCCTCTTTTAAAAAAATAGCAGGAGGAGTTTGTTAAAAAGGTTATGTGAAAGAAATGAGAAGTGCAAGCCCTGATCCCAATAGGGGATTTCGGCCACCAGGACATCTGCTGGAAAAGCAGCACAGTGAACTGGAATGAAAGCAGTCCAGGAAACTACTGGAGTGCGTTGAGGACAACTTACAGGTGATGGAGAGCCCGAGCAGGGGAGAGGCACTGCTGGACCTGTTGCTCACTATCAGAGAGGTCAAGATTGGAGGTAGCCTGAGCTGCAGCAATCATGCCCTGGTAGAATTCTCAGCCTACAGGTGAAGTTGCTAAGCTGCTATCCATCATATTTGAAAAGTCATGGCAGACTGGGCTAATTCCCAGTGACTGGAAAAGGGGAAACATAACCTCCATTTTTAAAACGGGGAAAAAAGGGAGACCTGGGGAACTACAGCCTGGTCAGTCTCATCTCTGTGCCCAGCAAGGTCATGGAGCAGATCCTCCTGGAAACTATGCTGAGGCATGTGAAAAACAGAGAGGTGATTGGTGACAGCCAGCATGGCTTCACTAAGGGCAAATCGTGCCTGACAGATTTGGTGGCCTTCTACGATGGGGTTACAGTGTTGGTGGATAAGGGAAGAGCAACTGACGTCATCTACCTGGACTTGTGCAAAGCAGTTGACACTGTCCCGCACAACATCCTTGTCTTTAAATTGGAGAGGCATGGATTTGCCGGATGGACCGCTCGGTGGATAAGGAATTGGCTGGATGGTCGCACCCAAAGAGTTGTGGGCAATGGCTCGATGTCCAGGTGGAGACCAGTGACGAGTGGTGTTCCTCAGGGGTCGGTATTGGGACCAGCACTGTTTAACATCTTTGTCGGTGACACGGACAGTGGGATTGAGTGCACCCTCAGCAAGTTTGCTGACAACGCCAAGCTGTGCGGTGCGGTCGATGCACTGGAAGGAAGGGGTGCCATCCAGAGGGACCTTGACAGGATTGAGAGGTGGGCCCGTGCGAACCTCATGAAGCTCAACAAGGCCAAGAGCAAGGTCCTGCGCATGGGTCGGGGCAATCCCCAAGCACAAATACAGGCTGGGCAGAGAATGGGTTGAGAGCAGCCCTGAGGAGAAGGACTTGGGGGTGTTGGTTGATGAGAAGCTCAACACGACCAGGCAATGTGCGCTTGCAGCCCTGAAAGCCAACCGTATCCTGGGCTGCATCAAAAGATGCGTGGCCAGCAGGTCGAGGGAGGCGATTCTCCCCCTCTACGCCACTCTTGTGAGACCACACCTGGAGTACTGCATTCAGCTCTGGGGCCCCCAACACAAGAAGGACATGGAACCTGTTGGAGCGAGTCCAGAGGAGGGCCATGAAAATTATCAGAGGGCTGGAGCACCTCTCCTACGAAGACGGGCTGAAAGAGTTGGGATGTTCAGCCTGGAGAAGAGAAGTCTCTGGGGAGACCTTATAGCAGCCTTCTAGTACCTGAAGGGGGTCTACGAGAAAGCTGGAGAGGGACATTTTACAAGGGCACGTAGTGATAGGACGAGGGATGATGGCTTTAAACTGAAAGAGAGTAGATTTAGATTAGACATTAGGAAGAAATTCTTCACTATGGGGGTGGTGAGGCACTGGAGCAGGTTGCCCAGAGAAGCTGTGGCTGCCCCATCCCTGGAAGCATTCAAGGCCAGGCTGGATGGGGCTTTGAGTAACCTGGTCTAGTGAAGGTGTCCCTGCCCATGGCAGGGGGGTTGGAACCAGATGATCTTTAAGGTCCCTTCCAACCCAAACCATTCTATGATTCTAAATACAACCTTGCTGGTTTGGGATGTTGCATAAAAGCATAAAAACTTTTTGGATGCTAACTTGTGCTGTTGCTGTCTCTTACACTTCTCTAGATGCTGATCAAGTGGACAGCACCACACTGTTGGGTAAGTAATGTTCTTATTTCCACAGAAAGTTCCAAAATCTATCAGAGAGATAAAAATAAGTCTCTTATTTACAAAGTAATTAAATGATATTGTGCAGATCCGATTTAGCTGTGAAAGCCTGCTTAACAGATTCTCTTTTTATCCTCTTATTTTCTTTCTACATATTAGCAGATAACTGCTGGCTTTCAGCTGTCAATAAAATGACAAATGATAGAATGGAAAAGCTCCAGAAAATGTACATAAAAAATTATTAATGCTGATCAGAGTATTCTAAGATCCATGAGGTTTTGGCTTAAATTTCCAAACATATGTTTGGCTATTTTGAATGCCTTCCTTAAGAAGGTATAGAAGAGTGAATCTCAAGCTTAAGCATGTAGTTCTGAAGGTGACTTTTTGGCTAAGCATTGTTTAGGTATCTTTGTGATACTTCTGTGAATAAGCAGAGCAATCGCAGAATCATAGAATGCTTTGGGTTGGAAGGGACCTTAAAGATCATCTGGTTCCAATCCCCCTGCCATGGGCAGAGACACCTTCACTAGACCAGGTTGCTCAAAGCCTCATAATACATTCCAAGTTATGGTATAAAACAGCAAAACTTCCCTTTGAAACAACACTTCAACTCCAAAAGATTATACTTCTAAGATACTAGTGCTGCTGCAAATAAAATTGTATAAAAGTTATCATTTCATTATTGCATATAAGGAAGGGTCTTTGGCATTGCAGGAGATTAAAACCCCCCACTTTTTCACAATCAAAGAATATACAAGGTCCAAGATACTTGTGGGCAGGTGTAAAGTCAGAGATTACTTTTGTAATTCCAACTAGATTTTAAGCTTATCTGTCTTTCAGATGAGTTCATAAATCCCTTTTTCAGTGAAGTGAAATTAGGCATCAGTGGAGAAAAAAACAAAAACTTGAGCACAATTTATTCCAGTTCCCCTTAACATGAAGCTCCTTTACTAACTTACTAGCACCCTCCTTACAAGTAATTTTAGCACCCATTTACTTGTATTTTGGAATACATAGCAAGAAAAAAAAAAAGAGAGAATTGTTCCTTTACACAGACTTGTATAATACCCCGCAAAAAAATATGCCTAGAGGTTTAAGTGATGGATGTCCTCATTTTGAAGGAATTTCCCTTCCAGTAGTTTTTACTGTCCAGCTATGCTGTTCATACTTTCAACAGTAGCTCACACCAAGAATTTTTTTCCTCTCAATAAGGGATCCAAACTTTTTAAAGAAGCTTCTCACCTGTGAACTCCGCGGGCATTATCACACAAAATCAAGAATTATTTTCTTCAAAAGGCAGCTGTGCAATTAGCTGCTTCCTGTTTTACTATGTTAGTACCAGAGCTCAGTGTTGGGGAAGAACTCAAGATCACTGAACTAGTGCAGACTTTCAGTAGGGTTAGTGTTGTAATTGAGAATCCAAAGACAATAACCTCAGCGGACCAGTACTGTGTTTACTGTAATATTTGGTGCTTGTAATAAAAACATACAGAGGACACATAACGTAGCAACATTAAAATACTTTCCCCCGCCCCCTCCACAGGAACTTCATGTGTGGACTGTGCTAAAAGGAAGTTAGAAGAAAATGGCACTGACTCTCCCAAGAGAATCAAGCAGTCAGATAATGGTATACCCACTATGTAATGAAAAAAAAAAAACCAAAAACCCAAGACCCAACCCAGAAGCTTTTTAACAGTAGGTGTTTTACATCTGCTGCATGGAAAGTTTTGAACTGACTATTTCCATGGTTTTAAGTGGAGTAAAAATTGTGTATCTTAGCCTTTTCTTTTCTAGGGCTGTAAACGTGTAATGTATGTAAAGCTTGAGAGTCATACTAGTCACTGTGCAGTGACTAAAACTGTATCTGCAGCGTCATTTAGAAGCAGGTGCAAGTTTTCTCTACCTGTGCTTGAAGCCAGTTGGACCAAGCTCTTACCAAGGGGAAGCCACAACAGAGGTAATGTTTGAATCTGTCAAAAATGACTTTTGGCATACCTGTTAGTTGCCTTTTAAAATGAAGAGTTTTCTGTTCTTTTCTCTCAGCTGAACTGCCGTTTGGCTGCTGGAGGTTGACCTCTTCAGGGGTCTGTCAGCCCAAGGCTGCTTGCAAGCATCAGATTCAGATCCCGAAGCTGTTAGGAACAGGAATTGTTGTTTCACATTTATAGAACCTGCATCATGATAACCTGCCTATTTTACACTTTTAGCATGGGTATTTGTTTTCATTTGTCAGTCTGTTAAGGCACGAGATCACATGGGGAGAAATGGACGTAATAGTAACGTATCAGGAAGGACATACCGTGTGTACATGGGGGCTTACTGACGTATTTGCAGTGTATTTCTACGGAAATATTTGAAATATTGTTGTTTAAATTACAGAGTATGCTGCCAGTTATCTCAGAAAGCAGATAATGGATAGTCTTAACGCAGCAGAATTAAAAGCAGTTAGTGTCTAATTATGTATCTGTAGACAATTTCTAGTGTATAAGTTTGACTTCAATTGAACTACTCAAATGATTAAGGTTAGGCACTACATTAACTGTTTTTTTTCTGAGGTGCTGTTACTTCACCTACCACTGAATTGTCTCAGCACTGAACTGACGTAATTACTCATCCAGCTGTGAACACTGGTAATCTGCAATTTTCTAGTCAGCGGCCTCTCACCTGAATGTCTGCCGGAGAGCACGTTCGGGATGATTCTTTGTTCTGATACTGGCACATTTGTATCTGGCAGTCCTGGAGGCCTGCTTCAGTCAGGTTTCTCTGCTTATGTTCCCTGTGGATTTGATCTGTTGTGCCTTCTGAGATCCCATTGCACTCGAATGAGGTTTTACAGGGAGAGGAAGTGATGGGTCTGTCAGGTGACCTTTCTGTCTGAACTGCGGTATGGCAACTCTTTACTCCTGTGTCACAAAACCGATTTCTGCTTGTTCTCTAGTATGTATGCGTGCAAAATGAAAAGCTTAAAAGTGAGGTGCATGCTTCTTTCTAGACTAATAACTACTGAGATGGGTCGAGTTTTTGTGGTGTGGAAGTCTCTGTCCCTGTTCTGAAGTAGGTAAAGATCTGAAGACATTTTACCTAGAAAAGCAATCTGAAACAATGCATGCACACTGACTCTTGTCTCTCCTACGTCAGAAGAAAACACCCAGTCGTCTTTCAGGATTGACAGTCTGGAAACCATACTTGGGTTTTAGTATACGATATAATTGCTAAGGACCTCAAGTATCAGTTCTCAAGGTTTCCGCTGTGTTTTTTAAAAGGTAAAAAGCAAAACCAATCTGAAGATAGACCATACTGATCCTCTCCCTCTGAGAGATGCATTTATGCATACATCACTTCTGAAAATTAAGTCTTTCAGCATTGCATGTAGCACTATCTGTAAGACTCTAACCTCTAAAGTTTGCTTCTCTAGTCAGCATGAATTGGCTCTTTGAAAAGTGATCAGTCATGCTGATGTATCAGCTTAGCACACTTACATTGTTGCTTCAAGCTGCAGCAAAATCAGTCAGATGAGCTGAGCTATTTATGACCCTGATTACTGTAATCGTTTAAGCCCAATCCTAAAGTCAGGTAACTCCTTATCTTGTGCCTGAAGTCAGATCCACGTTAGGAAATCACGTCCCCTCCCTTTGGTAAGGGTCAACTTAACACCTAGCATTGGTGATTCTTCCACTTTGTAGACACTGCTGAACTGCGACTTGAACAGCCGCCTCCCTGACTCAAGTGCCATTTACTTGTATCCTGAAAATAACCCCTTATTTAACTCATCTGCTTTTAATTTCTAACATATACAATCCGAAGGGAGAAATGCCTAGTTTTGGTTTTGTTTCCCCTTCCCCCATCAAAGAATGTGTTTTAGTCATCTTAGGGATGGGAGTGCCTTGCAGCTACCTCAGGGTTTAAAATACTGTCAAAAGGGACAGAACCTGAAACTTGTCTGTTCCATTTATCTGTTAAGTGAGAGAGTAACTTAAAGCCCTGTTCAAATTACTACCTGTGTATTGTGAAAGAATTAACCATACAAACTGGCATGTTAAATGGTATTTGCTGATTCTACCATAGATGGCTCATTTTCTACTTAATTCATAATTTCTTTTTAAAGGGGAGTAAGACACTTACTGAAAACCAACTTGTTGACCGTTTTGCTCAAGCTGTGTAATGAACGTGGTTGATAGGACATGTCTGATGATGGCATACACTCTTTTAATAAAATATTTAAAGCCAAATAGACCATTCTTGTGTAGTAGCCAAACCATGTAGTTTTCACGATTCTTCAGACTGTTCAATTCTTTACTGTATTTTTCTATTTCAACCAACAGTTCCCAGCAAGTGGTTAAAAACACACAAACCAAAACAGACCTTCTGTATTTACAATATACAGACTGAAGTGGGTCAAAGATCTTTGAAAATCACTAGAGGCCGCTTTTCTATTCATCCTTCACACTACTAGAAGTATTTCCACATCTGTCAATGGATTCTGAATTAAGGGACTGAGGCTAACTTATGACTCGCACTCAGAGTAAATAATTTTATTAAATGAAGTGTGGCAGCAACGTAAGTATTTGATAAACATCTGTCTACAGTGTAAGTAAGTGGACACAGTTAGGTTGTTGAAGTGTTCCCATAGGAACACATTATCTGCTGCTCACATGTCATTCCTTCCTTATGCAGTAACCCCACATGTCCAGACATCATCAGCTGTGTGCAGCAAGCACAGTATTAGCAACACATTACAAGGCAGACTTGTATAAGCAGCATGGTGGACAAAAGGAAGCTAGTGTATGAACATAAGAAGATATAATTATTATTAATAACCATAAACCGAATAAAGCTCTTCAGCATATGCTGAGGTGAAACATAAGCCAGATGAAGTGATTCAAGCTCTCTCAAAGAGTGTTCTGTAACCATCTTCATTAACTTTGCTTCTTAGATGAAACATGGCCATCAAAATAAACTTTACTGGCACAGGTAGGTAATAACCAACCTCAACTGCAAACCAATATACTTTTTTTTTTTCCCTAAGGCTGCTACCTGTGTGGCATCTGACTCACACCCATTTTATTCTTTCCACTTTTGTGTGGGGTAGAATGCCTCAAAGGTGAAATTCTTCCAGGTTACACCTATAGCAATATATCGTGAGCTTTTGTAAAGTTAACTAACATTTTCATAAGGTTGCAGTGGAAGACTGAAGTCTTACCGGGTGTCACAAAAGTCACATAAGATCATGGGCAGATTCCAATATCTTGTTTTAAAAAACAGGAAATAATCCTGTCTGAAAGCAAACAGATGCAGATGCAACACAAAAGAATGAGAATCTTGACCAGTGGTAGCACGTATCTAAACCATGCGTTGGAGATACGGCTGAATACATTGCTTTTCGTAAGAAAAGCAAGAGGCTTATTCTTTGTAATAGTGTGCTTATGTGAACCTGTAATCCTTCATCTTAAGGCAAAAAAACCCTCCCAAAGCATTTGAAGAGAAAGCTCTGCATACCAGAATGTACAGGCTTCAATAACAACTTCCAGCTATCTCTTACTTGTTAACAAAACTCTATCAATGAATAAGTTACTTCCTTCAATATTTTAGAAAACTGCTTCATTTGAACAGTAAACATTTCTCTATCAACCTCTAATAGCCACATTCAAACTTTTGAACAGTCAGCTGTAAATGCAGTTCTTGCTGTTGTCACCTGGCCCTGAAATCATCCATACTTTATTCTGAAACAGAACTGCGTTTGTGCTGCTCTGTTCTTTCCTGGTCCTCCATGTCTGGATACTCCGTAAGATCCAAAGTCAGTACTCGACTGAACATAAAGTCATCACGCTGAGAAGAGGAAGGATCATACAGTTCAAAACATTTCTGTTACTTGAAATAAGCATTTCATAAATGACTATGAGATACAATAATGAGCTTGAGTTACCAAAATGATCTTTTCATCAAGCCAGTACCCGCACTTATTTCTGAGCACAAAGTAGTTCAAATCCAGCAACACAATTATGTACATGATTCACTGCAGTAACACTTAAGGTGTAAATCAGTACTTCAACAAAAACCAGCGTGTATTATTTAACAAAATTTGGTAATAATTAATTGTTACCTCTGGACACACTCCAATCAATGCGTCTGCTTTGGAATAAAACTCTTCCTTTAGAGAAATAACTATCATTTGAAACTGTTCATGTGCCTGTTCTCTAATGAAACTTGATACCTTTGGAAAAAAGCCAAATATTTCAATAAGTTAGTTCTGGCAGACTGAAACCATGCTGTAATTAGGGAATGATGAGGAAAGAACTGAACTACATTAGCTGCAGAATTCAGTAATTCAGTTATGAAATAAGCAGGATAAAATGAGAAATGAAATGGTCTTAAGACAGATACTTTGCATGTTCTTAAGACAAGCCCTCAGATTTGGTGCTTTTCGAAAATGCATAAGAAAATAACCATTCACTCCAATGAATAACGTTATAGAAAAAGGCCTGTGCCACTGAAAAATATTTTACTTAATGTAATTACAAAGGAAGGTGGAAATTCCTGAATAAGGCAAAAAAGTGTGAAAAGGTTGTTACTGGCTGTATACTAAGGTCTTAAATACGTATTCGTTTGCTGCAGACAGTGACATTTTTTCAATGCTCTGCAAAATAAAGGTACAAATATTAAGTTATAAATTGGTGACTGAATAAGGCAGTATCCCACAATATAAATTAAATGCTGAATAAAGGAAAACCAGTACATTTTTAATTAGACTTTTGTCTGCACAGTTATAGCTATGTGATATGGAAGGCATTTTTTTAATGGCAGAACTGCCTTTAGTGAGTTACAAAATTCACATTCATTTTACAGTATAATTACAAGTAAATTACTGGAGATCTCCTTTAGTAAATCCTTAAACTGAAAGAATGGAAGGAAAAAGACTTAGTTCTAAGCATAAAATCTGGATACCAGTTGAGTATTAGCAACATATAATCTTCCATACATCATGCAATATTTCATTCCTCCGTCAGAAGGTTTTGGTGCTTTCCAATAACAACTGCATCTTACAGATAAGGAAAGAGATATGAAAGAACCTGGGAGCAGGGAAGCATTAAGTGAATTATACTTGCAGATCACTGCAATTTTGCTTTTGCTCATTCTGCAATTTAAGACACTTTTCACACCTGCTTAAAGAGTAATCTAACTCTCCTTATAACAATACCTAGACAAATGAAGCCAATTAAAGGAATTTTCTAGGAAACCACTATTCTGTCACCTTCTTCCTGTATTACATGGGCAGCATATATATCACAGCCTGTATCACAGGTTGCCTGCTTCATGTTGATTCTGTGAAGAGAGCAGCCCCTTTAGTAATCCTGCCCCAACCCCTCCGCGCTGCATCTCGGTATGGGAGCAGCAGGCAGGGAAAGGACCGCAGAAGGGCAGGAAGCCAAAGGGGACCTTCTAGAGAGGGGCCACAGAGCCGGGATGCCCCAGCCTCACGGGAGGCGGGCAGCTCTAGCCACGGAGGTTGCAAAACAGGTATAAGCCCCATTCCACTTCGAAGCAGGAAGCTCAGCATAACTTCCCAGTCAGATGAGGTGGGCCCCAAGGACTCAACTGAAGGCTTAATGTAGACTACTAAGGCAATTTCAGGGTTAACGCTAATGTGTAACATAATCCAAGTTTAACAGCTCTTTGGCCATAAAGTGGTATTTACGGATGTTATTTCTATAAATATACATTAGACCAGAACTTAAAATACCTAAAAGTTTCTGCATTAGTGTTCTTTATTTTCTTGAATATACATCTTAAAACCACACATTATTGTTGCTGATGCGTCAAACGAAATACGACACTTTCAAACTGTAAAAATACTACCCATTGAAGGTTATAAGCCTAGGAACCACTTGGAACGACTTAATATGACCATCTTTCGTGGGCCACAAATGTGATTTTTATCTGAAGAAAAGTAAACCAGGTTTGAAATATGTCTGAATTGAGAAGCCCAGCTGCATAAAAGAAAAATCAGCCATTCTTTGTTTATAGTGTTCTGAAGAAGAATGGTGCTTAGCATATTCTTAGGTATAAAGTAGACATCTCTTCTGCCAGAGGTGTCAGAATGAGCCTACTCAGGCAAACTGCAGCAAAGTGCCTCATTACTGTGCCTCTCATCAGCTGTGCTAATGCACCATTTGTAGTCTCTATGGAAAGTTGATAACATACTAGAAATCGTGAACTTCAAGGAATGTGTGCGTAACTGATGACTGGTGCGTCTATAACTGCAACAGGAACTTATGTGGATAAACTGAAGTCATCCGGGTAATGACTGCAATTTTGTTAGGCGTGATCTGGGAACCCTGCCCAGCTCCAGACAGAACCATGGAGAATTTTACGTTTGCATCCAAAAGACCACCTCAGAAGTCTGCAGGGCTAGGAAGTACTCATCACCTAATACACTGCAGCTTTGATGAAAGGCAAAAAGGTGAAATTTAGCATTAAGTAGTATAATAGCAGACAAGAAAGACAGTAAAGGAAACCTTGCAGGCAGCCTGCGTAACTCTAAGTCATCAGCCATGATATATTTAACTCCAGAATTAAGAATAACATCCAGAAAGCACAACACTGGTATTTAACTAGAATCCATGATCTTCAACTGTTATGGCAACTCATGGTGGTCCTGAGTGAAAGAATAGTAACTAGAAAAGTATCCTGTTAAAAAGCTTAGATCACAGAGGTGTTTTGTGATCACTTGATGTGTAACCTTGTTTCTAATCATGTCATTGAGAGCCAAACCCTAAAGCTTGCTTAGTTATTTTCCTTACAGACTCATTACGTCTCATCTGGTGTTGCTGAAACACACTGGACCGAGTTAAAACAAACTCCGGGCACATCATCTGCTTGGAAGTAGTGGATGATAGGTATCCCTCACAGACTTGTATCCTAAGGAATGTTTAAGGAACTCTGGTTCAGGAAAACACTTCTCACAATGCTACGTGGAGTCAGTAATCTCCGAGAAGGAATGTGGAGTCAGTGATCTCCGAGAAGGAATGTGGAGTCACTGATCTCCGAGAAGGAATGTGGAGTCACTGATCTCCGAGAAGGAATTCTGTCTGGCAGGCACAAGTAGTGGAGCTTCCCCAGCTGTCTACTATAGAGGTACCCTCCAAGCAAACTCTGGTGTACTTGGCACATCACAGTTAACTCCATTAGGAAAGGGAAAAAAAAAAAAAAAGAAAAAGAAAAAAAAAAGAAAAAAAACTACAGCTTGATCTTACTTTATGTGGAAAGGAATGTTTCCATAGAATAAAATCCAGGCACTTGTGGAGATCTTTTTGATTCCTCTCCTACATACAATCTCCTTGTATTGAGTCTCCTCCCAGAGGCTGACATTTACAGTTGGCAATCTTTACTGTTTGTATTCTATCATAAGTTTTTGTTACAGTTAACAATGATTAGTAAAAAGGGAAAAAGAAATTGAGAGGAAGACAGGAAGCTATTTTAATCAAGCAAGAATTCATGTGACAAAAACAATGGGAGTAATAGCCCTTAACTGGTGTTAATATAAAAATATTTAGTAGGCCAATTATATAAAATAAATACGCCAGTGATAGAATGACTTGATTTTCAACATGCAGATACACACTCCTTTCTGCTTCTTAGAAGTAAGGGAACTCAAAGGCCTTAAAAATTCCAACCAACCCAACCCAACCACCAATTCACAAGTGACCTTCATGTCAGATTGTACCACACGTGGTCATGCGGTGTACCTTCACACTCCTGACCTATTTTTCTCAACTTCGCAGTTTGGGGACTGATTAAAACAGTTCCCAGATTTAAACGTAGCCCTAGTCTAACATCTCATACAAGCATTATTTCAGTCCTAAACCCGATATATTTTAAAACAGGTTAAGACAGTGTAATCCATCCCTTTATCCCAACAACCTGTAATGAAACGTCGCCATCCTTCTACAAAAGATATCATTATATTGTCGATAAAAGGATAAGGTGAAAGGAACCAACTTACTTTATCAATGTTTGTGTTATCCAGGGCAGCATCTATCTCATCTAAAATAAAAAAAGGTGCTGGCCGAAAACTGTGGAAGACAAGACAGTATCTTCCATTTAGATGCAAAAATGTTAACATTCTAATTACTTTAGAGATTCACTTACTCCATCATAAGATTTTTATAAGAAGTAATGACAGGTAAAGAATAAGGACTTTAGTAATGTTTAAATACTCTATTAGCAGATTTTTTTAACATGTTTATAAGTGTAACATTGTCTATCTTCCTGCCACTTACTCAGCCACATACTTGGATAATACCATAACATTTCTTTTACCTGTGTATAGCGAACACAAGAGCCAGAGCTGCCACAGATTTTTCACCTCCTGACAAACAGTCCATTGGCATAAAGCGTTTTCCCGGAGCCACGCAGTTAAAGCCAATGCCTTCCAGATAAGGCTCCTCAGGATTTTCAGGACTAAGGAATGCCTGGAAACGCATGCATTTCATTATTAGGAGTGACATTTATAAAATTATTAAGATGGATATTTTTTAGGTTTAAATACTGACTGAGTTAGTGTTGAAACTGGTAAGTTAGCTTCATTTGTAGGAAACACCTGTTCATCTATACTGAAGAGCAGCACTATAAAGTTTCCCAGTGAATATGCCTTTGTTAATGAGCCAGGAGGCTAATTAACTAAACCATTTTGGAAACAGCTCCAAATGTTTGTTATTTACAAAGTTTCAACTACTAAATAAACTTGATTTTATCACCTTTTATGTAATTGCTTTAATTTTTTTTTTTAATAATATTTTAGACTTAAAAAGCAGTTTTTTGTTTGGAAGTAAATATACTTCTAAATTACACTTTTTTGTGAAAGGTCAGTTTTACAAAATCTAGCTTTGAGATGGAGAAAGATTTTAATATAGGTAGGCTTCCTCTGTACTCTGTATCCTGGTTCCCAGGTCCAAAATTTAAAAGTATTATTTTAAAAGAACGGCCATTTTACCAAACCATTAAAAAGTATGATGGATAAGCTAATTGCTACATGGCTTATTTTTCCCATTAAATAGAAGAGACAATAAAAAAAATACAGATTCTTCCCCTCTGCACAAGTGGGTAGATAGAAGAAAAATTTCCATAGTTGACACTCATCTAAAATGGCTCCTCTTGGATCATAGATAACAGTGGAAGAAAACCAAACCAAAACACAACACTACATGTACTTTGATTTAAAATTATTTCTGTGGTAAGTAGTCCTGGAAGTATGATACAGTGCTTGTAGTATCTTTGTTTTGTTGGAGGTATGCTTATTTTCCTCTTTTTCTCTGCTGAGAGAATGCCTGTCTTTGTTATTACAATACTCTTCAGGCTGTAAACATGTCAAATATCTTGCAATGCAACTCCCAGTTCTACGCCACTGCATATATCTACACAAGAGGAAGTTTTCAGATGTATGGACACTGTCAGCAAAAATCATCTTGTAGCTTACTAGCATATATTCCTCGCTTATCAAGGTATGAAAGGAACGACATTTCTCTCCACAGAAGAAGAATGGAAGAGAACTGATGGCGAACCCAGCAGTGATCTACATATGTACAATTTCTTAGGCAGTAGTTTCTTTTAAAGTCCTTCTAACACACTATGTGCTGATGAAGTACATTTTACTGAGCAATATATTCAGTGCACGAATGTTCTGAGTCCAGAATCTCTGGAAGTTAAGCTAACTCAATCTATTAAAGCTTCTCTTTTTTGGACTGGATAGTAAAGCATTATTAATGAATGCTATTAATATAGTAAAATTAAGAAATATTAATTTTAAGAAATGTTCATGTTAAAAATTGTTAAGGTTGCTTAAAAAGCATCTGCTTAAGCTGCAACCTCGGCCACCTCCTCTGACTGCAAAACTCAGAGCCAACCCCTTCCTTAGCGAGCCAGAGCAATCACCACACACAGAGCAATCATTTCTCTCTCAATGCCATTAGACCAGCTTCCTTCAGCTGCTTTGTTAGTATCTAGCAGGCAGTTTTAGCTTCCCAGCTAATCACAGGATAATCTCTTGACCAGGTTACCACTATGGCTCAAATCAAGGCACAGCATCGCAGACCTCAGAAAGAAAGCAACTAAGTATTTTTGGCAATGCATCTAGAAAATACTGTTTGTGTGAGTGATGCAAAGCCAAGACCTGCTTCATGTTTAGTCTAGGGCAGAAGGTACGTGACCAGTAATCATGAAGAAAGAAATGCTTTAATATCCTGTCCAACCTAGAAGCAGAAAGGATATATTTAAAGATATTTAAGGTGTTCACTGAATATCTGACTCCAAGGGAAAACACAAAATCAGTTTAAGACAGACAAGAGTTCAAGCCTGAGCCCTTTAAACATTTAACCGTCTACAGAATTTGAGGTAACCAAAGTATTTGGGAGTTTCCTCTTTACTTTTGGCATTAATACCGGAACACCAGCAAAGATTAATACAATTGTGACATGATTTTTCTACAGGTTTCTTAAAAGTTGCAAACATATTAAGTCTATCTTTTATAAATACTTAAAGTAGGGTATAAGGAGCTTCAAAATCTCATACAAAACACTAGCATTGAAATAGTGATTTATGAATTTTAGTTTTATCTATACTAATGATTAAGTGTTTTTAATTACTTATTATTGGTATCACTGGATCTGTAAATCAATGTTACTTTGAAATGAAGTACTCGAATATATTTCACATTTGTGTCATGATAATTTACAAGTCTGCTAAATACAAAGAGTGAAACTAACCCACACTGAACAGTTCCCAAATTTGTTAACACTTTAGATTGCATTTCTCTGTCTAATGTCAAGCATGCTTTGGCATATTACCTATTCCTCCTCCGACCCTAAAATTCTGAAGTCTTTTATTATTTGTGTAATTTTCTTCTTCAGGACTGAAACTGTCTTTGGAAAATAAAAGTGCTACTAAGTTCTCTCATTCTAGATAACAAAGCACCAAGTAGGCCTTTTAAGCCAAGTACCTAAGAACATGACACACCTGAGCACTACTGTTTCTGCAAAGTTTCTTGTAGATCTGATCAATAGCTATGGAGGCATGCTCAAAGCACCGGCTAAAAAGCTCGTATCTCCTTTTTTTCACCTGTTCAAATTCTTGCTTGCATGTTCTGGCCTCCTTTCTGCTGGTCTCAAAAGCTATGAAAAAAATTACTGAAATTACTCCATAATAAGCCTCTAAGCAAAAACACAGAACAAATATGTATCGTGTACCATAACAAGCATCAAGGAAAATATTGCAGAAAAAGGTTCTAATGCACATACAAGGTGCATACCAATATTATGAGTTTCCTTCCAGATTTCAAATGGAGGCCCCAAAACCTGAAAAGTTGGGATGTATTCAATCTGCTCCATGCCACATTCGCTTGGAGCAATGAACAAAATTCTTCTCCCAGTTCCTTCTGTAAGCTGGGTAGCCTTAAGCAGCACCAGCATTTACTTGTCCTTGGTTTTCTTAATATGTTAATGTCTGCAATGCTCTTTGAGGATACCAATAATTTTGCAGTCATGCTCACGTCTGAGTTCTGGATAACATATATCTGTTCCTTCCATTATTTAAGAAAAATTTAAAGGATTTCATGATTAAAGTCAGTAATTTTTAGAAAATAAGTAAAAATATTTTATGATGCCGTTTGGCCAGCAAGTATCTTTTCAATCTTCAAACTGTATTTCAATAAACTACTGCAGAGTAAAGTATATGTTAATAAATTGTTTACATAGAATTAAAAAGACAACTGAGGATAAACACTTGAGCACAAAAAACACCTTAATATCTGAAAGAAGCAAAGCCAGCAGGACCAACGTCAGAATGAGGAATTTCAATTAGGGTGAAAACTCTCACAGTCACAAAAGAGATTAGTATGAAAGACTCAGTGTTACCATCTGTTGATTCTTGGAACTTGTCTCGAGCTATCTGTAATTTCTCTACTGCTCTCAGGTTTGGAGCAGCTGTCTTCATTAAAGTACTCTCTTTAGATTTTATTTCCTGCTGCATCTGGCTCAGATGATCCTCTACATCTTTATCAGACTCTAAGTCCTAAGGAAAAAATAAAAATACTACAGCCATAAAATTTGCTTTTAGGCCAAGACATTTCAACATATACAGCAAGCACTCATGCTTTCTGGAAGAAGTACCCCACTCATCTAATAGCTTTAACTGGAAACGCAACAAAACAAAAAACTCCACTCAGAGCCTTAGTTCCCAGAATAAATTTACTAGGTCCTAAGCATTGTTCCACAAGACCTTTAAAAACAGACAACAAATTCCCTTCAGCGTACAAGTCTGGATTAAAATACAATCCAGGAGGAGGAGCAGGTGGCTTCACTACTTGATTTGTTAAGAAAACCTTTGAAGACAGGTTCTTGATGAATTCTTCGAGAACTTCCAGTGATGACAGATTCGTCCCTTGCTCTGTACCTAGCCTCTGACATTTAATTATTTTCCTTATGACTAAAATGGGAAAAACAAAATTACAAAACACTGCTGAGAAAACATGACCTAATGGACTGTTACAGAGGGAAGTACGGTAAGTCTCAGTCTCTGAAAATACTACAGAGAGAAGGTCGTACAACTCCCCTGGCAGCCAACCATTTTTTCTAGTTTTCAGTCACAACCTATAGTGTTGGAACTTAAAGGAAAAAACAGTTATATTTACTATTTCTCCATTCTATTTTTATGGTTTAGGTAAGCTTTAAATTAAATTTAGTTATACAAGAAATTGACCTATCCAGAAATTCCATACATTAGTGCTACATATGATTGTAAAACCAAAACACACACACACATGCACTTAAGCTGAACAGTGTTTCTAGTAAGTTTCATTTAAAGACTAGGGTGAAGAATAAATAATTTCAACAAATAAAATATTTTAAATAAAAATAAAAAACTCAATCTCTAATAATTTCAAACAAAAAAGGTTACCTTCAGGTCTTCTGCTAGGCTGCTGTAGTCTATCTGAATTGCCTCTTCCCTTTCATAGATACCTGATGTAGTCTGAGTGCCTTCTGTTTCAGTTCCTAGCTATAAGTATGAAGGACATTCCAGTTCAGAAATATGACAGTTAACTTTTAAACTGTTACTACATTAAAAGGCTATAAAATGAGGAGACAATGGTAACACGGTACGAGGTAAAACTTATTCCATAGTGCCTCCCCTAGCCAAAATGGAATTAACGGTTAGTTAAGATCTTATGAGTCTAATTAAAAACCGCACCTTTTAAATGAAGATGAAAACATCTGCTAATTTCAGTTTGAAGCTAAGATGAAAGTAGCAGTAATTTATTTGTAATATATTTACAACAATGTGCGTACTGTAAATCTCCTGATTGGAAAGATTTACGTTTCCATGATATTTCAATCCCCTTTCAAGGAAAGGCTCTGAAGTGTGTTAAGTCGAGGCGTTTCTTCCATGCAGTTGGCCTCAGAAGAAATGAGTAGCTTCAGTTCTGTACAGCATAAGCAGGATATCTTCTGGACACTGTAAGCCTGGATTTCAAACAGCTACTTTCCCTTGAATGAAACATGTGCTGCATGTCGTTATCAGTCCCTTTCCCACCAAGATTCTTTCTCAGAACCAAATCTTATTGGTCTTCTCAGAGATATTAATTGGGAATCTAAGTTGTTATTCCTACTGCCCACCTCCTTGGTTTCATCTCTTCCTTATTCATAAACAGCGAGAGCTGAGCTGCCTACGTACTCTGATGATCAGCAGTTCATGTCCTTTCCTTTCAATGACTGCCCACCTCACTGCCTTCATTTTGTCTTCTGACCCACTCATTCCTACCTATCCTCCAGCAAAAGTACTTTTCTAAGGAATGGGTTCAACAAAACTCCTTCCAAGTTCACAGACTTGTAACAAGTCCTTCAAAACCCATAGCTCTTTTCTTTTAAAACAGTGGAGAAAGTTTAATATCTCCTTATAAAAAAAATGCTGGAAAAAAGAGGGAAGACTGAGAAGAATAATGAGGGTCAATCCTCTGATTGCAGGAGTACTTCTCTGTTTTAGCCGATCCCTGATTTCTGTGAATATCTACATCTACTGAAGACAAAAGGATAATTTTAGACAGCATTTGTATTATGGATGATTAACCAAATATTATCTCAATCCATGTACATGCCATATTTATTTACATTTCTGAATTGACCCCTGTGTGTCCTCTTACATATGTATATCTAGAATACTCCTTCATACCAATTTTCTTGTTCCACAGTGATTTTACATATTTCACAGGAATACATTTCAAGCACATGCAAAAATACCTGCAAACAATATTTCTGTCTACAAAAACAAACAAAAATCCTTCTCTTGAATGGATGAGGCCCAATAGCACGAAATCAATATATTTATTATAACATTACTATGTAAGACAAACAGTCCTGTAAGGAAAAGATAAATATCTTTAAATTCAAGACTAATTGAATAATTGCTCCTCCCTGATATCCATTGTCTGTAAACATTTTAAGTACCTCTACTTCACTGATGTCATCCAGTGATCCAGACAGGAGCTTTATTTTCAAGTCTTGCACCTTGCATTCGAGAAGCATATTATGTCGTCTTAATCTTTTCTCTTCCAGAGAGGTTTCTATCGCTGTAGCTTCCTTTTGTAATTTTGTAGCTTCCCTACATACACAAAAGGCACAAAACAACTGAAGAGCAGAAGCATTGCTGCCAATAACATCCACTGCCATACAGCATGAAAAACAGTTACCAGGCACAAAGAGGGCTTTTTCCTCTGTAATCCCCATCAAACATAAAGGAAAATGGTACTTCACTTCTTCCATCCCCTTCATTCTCCCAAATTACTCAACAGGGTGCTCAGAACCACATGCTATTCTAGAACACAAGCTAACACTGCTGTTCTGTATTAACTCTTAACTCCATTGCAAGGTAAACGCTAGTAGCATGGACATAGTTTCAGTATATTGACAAATTCACACTATAGGAAAGGTGGATATTTGAACCTGCTAACTACAACTAAACTCTGTTCTGTTCAGCTCTGCTGAACATGTATGGAGATTTGATCCTTTCAAAATACAATCAAGTATCTTCTATTATTACTCTACTTGATATACACCTTGACTCTTTCCAATGAATTCCTTTGATAGCATCAGGTTGCTAAATAAGGAAGAGACATAACAGCTTTATATTGTTAAAATTACACGCTATCAAATGAATTACTAGGCATGCAATCTATGAGTTTATATAAAATTCCAGAAGTTTACCTAGCCATACTGTGCCAACATGTCAGGTTTTTTAAACATAAAGTTTAAGACTCCTGATTAAGAGACATTAAACACATCAATAATAAGCAAGCATAAGAAAACTGAAGTATAAACTGTCCTTAAAGCAGTTGATTTAAAAGAGCAGTAAGGACAAACTAGTAACCTAAAATTAATATGTGTTTAAGGTATCTAACACTTGAAAAGCCTGGAGAAAATAAAAACACTGAAATAGGAAAAAAAAAAATTCTCATTAATGGAACCAACTGTACAACTCAAACAAAAATATGAAACTACCAGCAAACTTAATATGCTCCCCCAATCAAGTCATAAGCTAATACAGACTTATCAGAAGTCACTATATATTTATCAGAAATCACAATGAGACCTAACACTAGGTAGATAATGTTATTCTATATGGCTTACAGGATGGCTCTCATGAAATAATCTTGTTCACATTACTTGTGGGAACCATATAGTGAATTAAAAACACTTTTAAACTAATGCATACTGTAAATGAAAATTACCACGTCTAATGAATCTTTCACAAGAAAACAGAACAAGAGAAATTCAAACATCTGATCACTAACACTCTTCTAAATATTATCACATGAATAATTTTCCCAATAGTACAATTAGTAATTACCTATTAAGAGTTAACAACGTCTTTCTAAACTCTTCAACTTCATTTTGGGTTTTTATAACCTCAGATTTATGAGCACTTAATCTATCCTTAAGATGTTGCTGCTCCTCCACAATTTCATTCACGTTTTTTAGAAGCTTTTCCTCCTCCTGCATAGAAATATTCACATTTTTAAAGTCTCACCAAAAATCTTGACATGGAACCTTTGTTATACAAAAAGAAAGAGTTAAAGTTTACACCTGTTACAATACATTCAAATATGTTATAGCACAAAATCTGAAAGGCACTGGGAAAACAGCCTGTCTTAGACATGGGAAGATCCAGATGTTTTGTGACTGTACTGGACTAAAATATAAAGCCATCAAACAAGGCAGGGATCTTGGGATGCCTTGTAAGCTGTAAGCCACTCCCTTTCCCTCAGTTAGTCTCTTAGCCCTGCAAGAAGGATCCCATCTGCTGTACAACATATTTACAACACCTAATGATATCCTGCAGAAAGTGAAAATTTTCCACTGAGCAAAACTACGAAACACCTGTGTTCTGGGAAAGGAATTTGGGAGGGAGCTAAAAAAATGTAAGAGTATTTGTTTAATAAATGAACCGTGGAAAACTAATGACTATACCCTTGAAGAAGAGCTACCGGACTGATAAAAGGGAACATCTTGGCACCAAAGACTGGACGGTGGCCAGAAAAACATAAAAGTGATAAAACTGCAGTAACTGGGTGAAAGGTAAATGTGGCGAGGGGAGCTGATGACGAATGACTCAAATTCAGGACCGAAAAGACTTGTCCCCGCCACCTGAAAGGCGCATGCATGCTAATTTACATAGCAAGCGAGGCTACTTTTAATATAGTAAACCGACAGTGTATGAAATCACTAACCAGTAAGTGTAAAATTAGGTGGGATTATACTAATCATGTAGTAGGATAAATGTGCTGCAGTTTTGTATGAAGGTGTGACAGCTTTGTGGATTTACCACCTAGCACCCATCTCTGCACAGACATGAAATAAAATACCTCTGCTCTGGGTGTTAATTGGCATCTGCACACCAGGCGAACGACCCTGCTTTTGGGATAACACAAAGGTAACCTGAAATCCTTTAAAAAGTACTGCTCATTAAAGATAAATCCTGAGGAAATCCACAGAGAATAAAGAATCTGTGGAGGTACTCTAGAAGAGTCTTCCCTTATATAACCCATACCACTGCTAAATTGCTAGAAATTAGGTGCTAGAATACAGTAAAAACCTAAAACTACATGCATGAAGACACAGTCTTTAAGAGACCAGTATTATGGCAACCTAATCGAGACTTACTGCTGTTGCAGTATCCGAACAAAGTACCTTCAGAATTTTATACAAAAAAATTTTTCTCTAGGACAAAAATACCTGAATTTGCTCAAAGTCATATTTCAGAAGAATTATGCACACAGGCATGAAGTCAGACGTGGTTTTGTGCATGACTGAGTAAGGGTCTATTGTTTTTCCTCAGTATCAGAAATACGTGTTTTCTAATGTTAAAATATAGAGTTCAAATGATGCATGTGGGGGTTTTTTGCCCTCTTTGGGGCAGTTTCACATTTCACTTTTGTTTTTTATTCAAAGCACTTTCTCCTTCACTTTCCAGTGCACCACAAGCATAGTTTATTTAACAAGCAACGTTAACACAACAAAAAATTACTTATGAATGAAAAACACTATGAAGGAGGAATCCATACACATTACTTCAACTAAAAACCTAAATTAGTTTTCATAGAGTTATTTTAAGTCTCTTAGTGGCTGTGAAGCACCTTAAAGATGCCAAGCACCAGAGTTGTTTACTATTACTCATAAAATCTTCTAAAGAATCTCAGCCACATGCTACTATTTTTATCTGTAGTCATGCTGCCTTTTCATAGAAAGTAAACACAATATAACACTGTACATACAGTAAACCCAACTTTAATTTTTAGTAAGCTTATTTTTAATAAGTACCCTAATATGGCAGGTTATTCCAAGGTTAAAATGACAATATGCAACTGCATTTTTTTAACATTTACAAGTTAGCACTCAACTAAGGCCTCAAAGAATTACTCAACAGCATCAACTACGTTTATTCAAAACTGTAATTCAATGCATTCTTTCCTCTCAGTCCCAGAGATATATGTAAAGAGATATATAGATATAGATATATAGACTTTACAGTTACCTTCTGTAGCCCAGTAATCTCAGCTTCATCTTTATGAATGGTCTCCCTCAACTTGCTGACTGCATTTGTTAATTTTTGTAGATGATCACGATTATATTCTAGCTGAATGTTTAGTCTTGTCTTCTGATTTTCAAACTCCAGTCTAGTGAAAGTACAGTATTTCAAACCAACGCTTACAAAGCAGGCTAGTAACTGTGATTTTAAGTTATTACGAGATACATTTTCACTTTGACTATTTAGATAGCATTTTAATATCTCTACGTGAACGTAAAAATTTGCATACATTTGGATCATCGATTCCACTACACCACATCCTATGGATATACTGGAAGTTACAAAAATACAGTAATAATAGTTAAAAAAATACAATATACAGTATGGCCACATTCAATATGGAAAGTAACACTAGAAGTTCGAGTATCTCAATATGAATGATATACCTGTAAATGATGCAGATACGAGCTGGGCAAAAGCTACACTGATGCTGTGTATTTATCCAACGCCTGTGCTCTTTGCTCAGCCTCCGCAAGCCTCCTAGTCAGCTGGCATGTATGTTTATCTGAATATTAGAAGGAACCTATCTCGGGTGGGAGATGGCAATTAAAAAGCATGAGACCAGAGCTTTTTAAGCCATATTCAGCCTTGCTTATCATCTCTGAATTGAGATCTGTGTTTGTTTATAGGGGTACAATGGCAGAAACTTCTTCACATGCTGCTGTAAGAAAGGACTGAAGTAAAACTAAGCGGCTGTTTACAGAAAGGTCTCCTCTCCGCTGTTACTGTCTGCTCTGAGCTTTGAGCTTCCCAAATGATTTACTACTAGTGCTGCACCTGTTGTTCAGGCAAAAGGGTTGGCACGGCACCAGCTACAGGCTCTTTAGACCTGGGCAAGAAGGCACCATCACACAGGCTTACAGGACTAATGATAGCAAGTTAGGGCACAAGCAAGGCCAAGGCTGTATGTGCAGTGTAATACAAAGTCACGCAAAAAGCTCCTCTTTTCACTGTTCTATTACTAACTTCTTACACTTCACCAGACTTCAGTTCTTGCAAACATAAATGATCAAATCACTTTAGCCAGCAGGTGCTTTAACTGCAAGTGAATGCACTGCACTACTACCTCACTGCAGCCCTAGCTGAAAACATACATTTGGACCAGTTTCTGAAAACCAGCCAGAGAGTGTCTTAGCAGCTGAAGAGACAGCTGAAAAGCAAACGGAGTTCAGTGCTAGCCATTACACTGGTCATGTAGAAAAAGGTGTATTTTCTGTAAATCATGTCAGGAAACGCCTGTAGTACAAGCAGACAGTTCATTTTAACGTACACATTCTTTAAATATAAATTTGTCGTCCTGTGACGTGCCTGTTTGAGGGGAATACCAGTTGAGGTGGCCTGTGAGAAAATTAAGATCCTGTTTTCCTTAATAGTATGTTCCTATACCAAATCACCACATCTTACACCCAGTTCTCCTTTAAGATCTTTGATACATAAGTGAGCCTCCATGTCATCCTCAATTTGTGATACAGCCATTTTTCAATGTGGATTTTGGAAAACTATTCTTTGCTTTTTCTACACTAGTGCTACCAAAATAGTAAATATTACCTTTCAAGTTTGTAGCAAAATGTCACTGACTATAACTGTCCCATAAACCCAAACCATAGCAGTGCAACTGCCAACTAACCTTTGCAATAACATAACATTTTACAGTCTTCTAGGTTTTTGTGCTATTTCCTGTGATGGAGTTACTCATTTATCATTGTGCCCAATCTAATACAAACCACTTTTTTACATTTCAATTACAAATACCACCTTCTCTTATCAATCTCCTCTTGTTGTCTCACATGTTCTTGTTCATACACACGAATATTTTCTATACCAATTTCTTCACAGAATTCCTTGAAAACAGCATCTCAGCCTTTGAATGAAGAGAAATGGAACAAAAAACGTTTATCCTATTTTGGCACTCACAGAAGTAAAACATTTAGATGATCACTTCATGCTACATGCTGGATTTTCAAGGTACTTTAAGAAACAGCAAACTGAACTACTGAGTAGTAATCTGTACTTGACATTTTCAAATAACAGTTACAGTACAAATGCCAGATACAAGGCATATGGTCTGCAAAAGGTAACTCTTATCTAAGCTCTTACTGACAGCACCTGGTCATTCCAAAGACAATTTAAGTCATCACCATGTAACCAACTTCCCTGGTTCTGTCTGTGGTTCCCAGTCAACTGAAGAAGAGAAAGCTGAATGGTACACAAGACACTAATCAGATACACCCGATATCTTGGTGTAGCTCGTTCTTCATTTTAATCCTTTCAAGTGATCCATAAATATTAATTGCTATGTTCCATTTATAGCAAAGCCACAGCAAAAACATGCTATAGAATCTCTCATTTCCTAATTATACAGTATATACTAACAAAAGCCAAAAACAGTCCTAAAATTGTAATGAAAAATTTAAGCAGGCAAATAGGTACAGTGCATATGGCAGGACTGAACAAAGAAATAGCAACAGCCTACAGCATTTAAAAGGAAACCCAATGGACTGAACAAAATCTTAAGAAAACTTTACAGATCAAAACCCAGTATTGTTTATATTGTTTTGGTATGCAGGCTTGTTTAACCAGATATCAACTACTACATCAAATCAAGTTATACTATTCAAGTAACACTATTCTTCGGAAAAGTTCCCTGGATCTGGGATTCTTACAGCCTAATGATCAATGACACACATCTGCACTCCCTCATGCTTGCACCACAAGTAAGAGAGAGAACATGCAGCAGTTTTGACTTCTTTTTACATGCAGAATTCCAGTCATAGATTAATCCAAGAAAGACTGATGAGAATGGGTCAGAGGCCAGGAACTAAGTTACACATGTACTATACACCTCAAGTTAACTCCAGACAGCGGTGAGGAATCTCTCTTTCTCTGAGAATCTACATTTACACAGGCATCTAGGTGCAGGGCTGTGAATTTTCCAGATAAAACTGCAGCACCACTTTTCCATAGTTTGTACCAGATTCCTTTGTTTGGCAAGAGTAGGAACAAGGCAGCTTCCAGACAGAAGTACAGATGAGGTACTTATTTCACGGAGGCCAGCGTTATTGTCTGCTGTAGTAGAACACAGTATGAAACCCCTCTTGGTACCAGATTAAGCTTTACTGCTATTCGCCTCACTGAATGCCTTCAGTCTCTTCGTGATAACCACGCTTTTGAATTTGTAAGCTGTCTGTATGAACTGTTCTGGGGACCATCTGAAGATGGGAAAATGATAAGGAAAATGAGGTATGAGATGGCAGAACAGTCTACAGAAAAAACAGCTGGGAGGCTTAACTGTTGGATCACATATCATAGAGAACTTTTCCTGTTGCTGATAAAAAGCAGAAAGGAGCAGGTTCTAATGACAAAAGCTGTTTAGTACCGTAACAGATAATGACTTTGGACAGGTGGGGATAGCACAAGGTCCCTAAGCTCTGCATCAGCTACCCCTCAAAAAACAGGGAGAGCAAAGACTCAGTTAGATCACAAGCTAGCTCCATCTTCCATGAATTGGACTCAAAATGAATGTAGGCATACAATAGTCTTAAAAACAAAACCAAAAATCAAAACAAAGCCCAAAACCACAACATTTAAAAAACCCCAAACCCAAAACACCTCCTCACCCCCCTAACAAAAAACCCAACCAACCAAACAAAAAAAAAACCCCAAAACAGTGGAATGAGGAATTTGCTGATGATCATCATGCATACCTCAACCATTCTCCCGAGGTAGTTAGAGTGCACAGAAAACAAAGCACAGATATTGGCTACTTCCAAGAAGAGAAAGGAGTCTTCACACTATGATGCTCTTTATCTATTTTAGTATATAGTGGTGTAACAGGTCATGATGTAGACATGACACCTGTAGAGTTCAGAACAAAGCACTCCAGCAGTGCTGAGAAGTGTTCTCAGCTCTAGAAAACCAATACAGAGCTCTCTTCCTAACAGCATGAGCATGCCTAATCTGTTCTGCCTGTGGGTTGCAAAAGTGGTGGATCTTCTCTTCTCCCAATGAAAAGATATTGATAGAACGTTTCCACGTAGACACTGAATGGGTCCTGCTATGACTGCAATGAGAATGATTTTCAGAAGGATTGTCACCCACGCAGAGACTGTCTACCTAGTGGCTGCACTGATGACTGAGAGACCTGCAAATCTTGTGGGTGCATGTAGAGTTTAGTGTACGTACACACTGTCACAGATCCATATTGGCCAGGAAGACTTCACGCCAAAAGAAAATTACAGTCTAGTCATGCAGTCACACTACAAAATTATCTCTCCAAAAAAAAGGAGAGATCCTGTAACTACAGTTTCTTACAAAGAACCTGGATATCAGAGTCTGAGAAAGAATAAGCTGGGATTTAACAAATTCTACCCTCAGGCCAGGAAAGACCTACAGAGTATTTTTCTGGGATTTGATCTACAGTGAAAGTTTGCACTTAGAGCTCTAAAGCTGTGAACTTTGATGGACTGTCCCTGCTCAATACTTCGAAGAGTAAACCATATTTATTAGCAGAGCAGGAAAAGGTGGGGAAAAAACAATCCATCTTCTTCAAACTCAAAAATTTTCTCCTATGTCAAATGAAATTATAGTGTATATATTAAGCAAAGCTTCATCTAACATTAAGAAGTAGATGGATTTGGTTGGTTGGGTTTGTGTTTGGCACATAGAAGTCACAGTATTTTGATTTTAAGGAAACTGATTTGCAAAGCTATGATACATATATGCTAACATCCAATGGCTTTTCTGTTCACAGTTACCTTGGTACGAAAGGTAGAGAATGTAGGAAGATTGCTGGAGTAACTTATAATCCTTGTCAACAAAGCAGCAGGAACAGAAAGAAGTTTCTGTAGTGTAAGAGCATAAGCTGTCATGACTATGACAGAAGGCATTACCTCATTAATTTTTTTCTGAAATTCTTCTATTTTTTCTTTTCTTTGTGCTACTCCTTCATTCAGCATATCATGCTGAGACTCAATATTTACCAGTTCACTTTCCAGTTTTGATTTTTCCTAGATAGAAAGAGAGAGAGCGAGTGATTTTTCTTAATAGGATGGTCAACTTTCTAGAAATTAGGAGACAGCTCTGTTCCAGATTAACCTGTATTTTTCTGATTAAAAACATTAAATATTTTCTTCTCAAATGCCACTTACGCACTATTATTGCCAATTTGTATGCGATGATTACAGTTTTAATGAGCAGAAAAGCAAATTACCTAAGTATCATTTAAAGTGCATTTTGACTTACAGACTTCTGAAGGTTACTAAATGATAAACCAAGCTTACCAGAAATTCAAATTTAAAACCTAAAATAGAAAAAGCCTCATGTAAATTACTTTTTAATCTTGTTTTTTATATTTTATTACTGTATGTAAAACTTAAACTGCATTAAATAAAGCTACATAAGGAAGTGGTATTTACTTCACTGGTATTTGCAGCTTAGGTAAAAAAATACAGTTATTAAACATGAAAATTATAAAGGCTTAGTACTATACCGTGTAGAGATTAGCGAGATGTTTCTTTTTAATAAGCTCTAATTCACTCTGTGAATATTTAAGTCGTGTCTGAATTCCGTGGCACTGAGCATGCAACTGCTTCAAGTCAGTCTCCTTACGTTTGACCTTCATTAAAGCCTAGAAAAATATTACGATGGGAGAAAAAGCATTTTAAACAAAAGGTGAATTATTTGGAAATTACTCATTTTTCAGATTTACACACTACATAAAGCTAGCCTCACTGACATAGGCCCCATTCAAGGTAAATGCTGATAGCATTGGTCGCATTCAATAGTAATTTTGTAACAGATTTATTTCTCAAAAGAAAGCATATGCTTACAAATTCCTAAGTTCCTACTCTATCCCTCTTGCAAAATAACTAGGTATGACAAATCATTTTACACTGACAGGTTTTGGTCCGTGCAAATATTTTCATCTTGACAGAACATATCATCTTTTTCACTAAAAGTCTTCAGGTACTTTGAACCACAGCTCTTTTTTCCTTGAAGGAACTTGTATCAACAGTGCTGTCCAGGTTTTCCACCTCTGTGACACATGAACCAACCCACCAGCTAAAGACAGAGACCCACAGTTGATTATTATTAACTAGAAGAGGATAAACAGCTACTATGTTCTGCCTGCATCCTCTAGAAGTTTTGAAAATCACCTTTTTGGAAAATTATCTTCCCATAGCTGAATTAGACACAACTGTTACTCCTTTATGCCTTTAGCAGTTAAGTGCTTTTTAAGAGACCTACCTTTAACTCATTAATCAAGCTATCTCTTCTTTCTTTCATTTTATTCATTTCTTTATCATCCCAACATCTAGCTTTAAATCTTAAATCACTTGATCCTCCAGAAATCACTCCAGATTTCAAAAATAAAGTTCCATCAAGAGCCACTGTCTGGAAGAAAAAAAAAAATTAAAACCAAATAAATCTGAACACAAAGCAGCCAAAATATCCCATGAACTAGTGCACCAAGATATGGTAGTTAGACAAGCAACAACCACATTTTAGTTGGACTCCGTTTTTTTTTTTCTGTTCCAAACCTGCTAATACAAGATACATGAAGCCACAAAAAAAGTCTGTTGTTTCTTGGCATTAGTCACGTTTTGGTATTATTTCAACTGATCAGAAAAGGAAATGAAATTGTATAATTTCCTTGTACTTAGGAAATGAATATGAGACATTTGTGAATACCCTGGCAACTTAGAAAGCCATGTCTGGCTCAGTAGAGCAAACCAAGCAATGTGATAATGGAGCAAAGGAGAACAGCTCATTTGTAAACAGAAAGTGTAAATTTTAGTAAAGAACATGGGTGTTTTTGTGACTTGATTCCAAGTAAACATGATTTCACACTCACTTTCAACTTAAAGCTGTTTTAATCAAGATTTTAAAAGGTTTAGTAAGTGCATAACAGGGCTCCACAGACTATCTACAGCAACAGAGGTATGGATAAGAAGAAAGAACTGCAGGAAGAGACAGAGAAGCTTCCAGTCCTCAATACAGTCTACATCTAAAATATCTGACAGAATCTCCCAGTTGTAAAGAATTTTTGGAAGCATTTCTTCATAAAAAAACTAGCAAGATAAAGTTTGTATTTTTAAATCATACAGTTTTAAGAACAGGATTATCCCTCCTTCCTCATCCTCCTTTTCATCATGAGGACCATACCTAGAAACATATTTGGACACTAACTATCCTCCAATTTTCCTCCTTTTCCCAAGAAATCATTTAAACGTACTACCATACAGGGGAAAACATCACCATGTGAAATATCTGGGGGTTTATTTATGTGGGAATAGACTAGACAGTGCAGTACCATTCTGTGTTTATCTGCAATGTTTATAGAAGAATTACTTAAATGGCATCAAATACATAACTGCAATGAAAAACATATGCAACAAAACTCAGCTTCTTACTTTCAACCTCACTGGTCCATCAAATGCTATTTGTTTTGCTTCTTTAACTGTTTCACAGACCAAGCCATTCCCACTCACAAACTGAATCACTTTTTTCAGTGGAGCAAATGGAGTTTGTACAATATCCACCATCATTTTAGCTCCTTTTATCTCTCTTAACTTTTCGTTGATTGGTTTAACCTGTAAAGCAAATAAGTGGTGTTCAGAACCCATGTTGTAATAGCAAAGTATGTCCAAATCTGAGTGGTCTGGGGACAGGGTGTACAGATCAACAGAATGGGGGTCTCAGTCACTCTAAGACTAGAAACAGATCTGGTTTTCTTATTCTGTGTATACTATAGTCCTTGAATCTGTGTAACCTATTTCACTGTGCATGAAATGCAAGTACACTAATGCATGTAGCATGGGGAATAAACAAGATGAGTTCAAGATCTGTGTGCAGTTGCAGGGCTACCATCTTCTTGGGATCAGGGAGACATGGTGGGATAGCTCCCACAACTGGAGTGCTGCAATGGAGGGATAGAGGCTTTTTAGGAAGGACAGGCTGGGAAGACAAGGAGGTGGAGTTGCCCTGTATGTGAGGGAACAGCTGGAATGCACAGAGCTCTGCCTGAGTAAGGATGGTGAGCCAACTGAGAGCTCATGGGTAAAGGCTGAAGAGAGAACTGGTACAGGTAATATTGTAGTGGGTGCCTGCTACAGGCCGCCTGACCAGGAAGAAGTGGTGGATGAGGCCTTCTACAAACAGCTAAAAGCAGCATCACATTCACAGGCCCTGGTCCTCATGGGGGACCTGAACCACCCCGATATCTGCTACAGGGACAACACAGCAGGGCATAAGCAATCCAGGTGGTTCCTGGAAAGCATTGATGACAACTTCCTCACCCAAGTAACAGAGAAGCCAATGAGGAGAGGTGGTCTGCTGGACCTCATACTCAGCAACAAGGAGAGGCTTGCTGGGGATGGGAAGGTCAAAGGCAGCCCTGGCTGCAGTGAGCATGAGATAGGAGAGTTCAGGACCCTGAGAGGAGGGAGCAGGGCAAAAGGCAAGCTTGCAACCCTGGACTTCAGGAGAACAGACTTTGGCCTCTTCAAACATCTGCTTGGTAGAGTCCCATGGGATAAGGCCACAAGAGTGAAGAAGGACCCAAGAATGCTGGTTAATAATATTCAAGGATCACCTCCTCCAGCCTTAAGAGCTAACATCCCAAGGAGTAGAAAGTCAGGCAAAAATACCGGGACACCTGTATGGATAAACAAGGAGCTCCTGGCAAAACTCAAACACAAAAAGGAAGCATACAGAAGGCGGAGGCAGGGACAGGTAACCTAGGAGGAATATAGAGGCACTGTCCAAGCATGCAGATAAGGGGTTAGGAAAGCCAAAGCCCAACTAGAATTGAATCTGGCAAGGGATGTCAAAGAAACAGCTTCTGTAAGTACACAAGTGACAAAAGGAAGACTAGGGAAAATGTGGGCCTGCTGTTGAATGAGGCACGGGACCTGGTGACACAGGATATGGAAGAGACTGAGGTACCAAATTCCTTCTTCACCTCAGTCTTGACTAGCAAAACTAGCCTCCAGGAATCCCAGGTTCCAGAGACCAGGGAGAAAATCTGGAACAAGGAAAACGTACCCTTGATGGAAGGGGATCAGGTCAGGGAATGCTTAAGCAAACTGGACATACATAAATGCATGGGCCCTGATGTGATGGAACCACCAGTGTTGATGGAGCTAGCTGATGTCATTGCAAGGTCACTCTCCATAATCTTTGAATAATCACGGCAACTGAAAGAGGTGTCTAAGGATGGAAGAAAAACAAGTGTCACTCCTGTGTTCAAAAAGGGACAAGAAAGAGGACCCAAGGAACTACAGGACAGTCAGCCTCACCTTGATCCCTCGGAAGGTGACGGAGCAACTAATCCTAGAAACCATTTCCAGGCACATGAATGACAAGAAAGTCTTGGGGGAGCAGTCAGCATGGATTCACCAAGTTGGTCATGCTTGACCAACCTGACAGCCTTCTACAATGAAACGACTGACCTGGTAGATGAGGGGAGAGCAGTGGATATTGTCTATCTAGACTTCAGTAAGTCTTTCAACACTGTCTCCCACAAGATCCTCATAGAGAAGCTGACAAAATATGGGCTGTGAGGTGGACTGAAAACTGGCTGAACAGGCAGGCCCACAGGGTGGTGACTGGTGGCACAAAGTCCAGTTGGAGCCCAGTAACTAGCCATGTCAATATCAGGACCAATCCTGTTTAACATCTTCATTAATTATCTGGACCATGGGGGAAAATGTACCCTCAGCAAGTTTGCTGATGACACAAAACTGGGAGGAATGGCTCATATGCCAGATGGTCATGCTGCCATCCAGAGGGACCTCAGCAGGCTGGAGAAATGGGCTGACAGGAACCTCATGAAGTTCACCTCACAAGTGCTTTGCCTTAACATTTAAGCCTATTTTAGTTAAGCTTAAATGAGCCAATATAAAGATTTACAAGTGTATTAACTTGCTGATGACAGGAAAAAGAAAAATGTACTTACATCAAGGTAATCCAAAGCAAGAAAAGTTTCAGGTTCAGCTCGTTCTTGTTTTAGGAACCGAATGCAATCTCTTGCTGTTTTTTCAGTGGCAACAACTATAGCAGTCATGTATTTGCTGAATACTTTGGTAACAGCAAGCTGGTATTTTTTATGAATAGGATGACACAGGTCGAGCAGTCTTCCAAACTGAAGATAAAAATATAGAGAAATATTAATATGTTACTTTAGATATCAAATAATATTTCTGCATACGAGATACTGAAATAGTAAGAGAAAAATGTGTTACATATCTACCAGCTGCACTCTCTTACAAGGGCTGTACATCAGAAAAAACAGAAATTGTAGCAGTCATCAATCCAAATTGCAAAGTATGCCTTCAAAATCTGAAGGGATTTAATTTTTTCCCTGAGGTTACAGTTACATATCTCAATGTTTTACTCAGTCTCTAGCATACACCTCTAGAAGCATAACAGAGTGACAACAGCAACGTTACCTAAGTACCTTTTTTGGAGAGAAAGGAAGTATCTAACACACAATAAGATCCTTGAATGACAATAAGGTCTTAATTAAATAGGACTGTTAACTGGAAAATCGTAGCAAGAGAGGCACTATTCCAGTTTCAACCCAAGAAAGAAGTATCTGCTTACTTTAGTAGCATGAAAAGAATAAAACCTGCTTTTCTTGTACTGCACAGTTGAAATAATCAAGCCTGTTTTGCCATATATTGAAATAACACCTCCATAGATAAAACTAATTAGTTCTTTGCTGTACATGCTCCCTGAAGATCTTTTGTTCCATTTCTGTAATTACAGGTACAGTTGAGCTTTCCCTGAATGATTAAGGCTACTAATGCACATTCTGAACATTATAACCTCTGAATTCATGCAAGAACAATTTTTCTGCTCATTGACATATAGTTACTGGTCTCCTCTTGCGTATCTACAGTTTTACCCTTACCAAATTTAAACAAATGAGAACAGGAAGACAACTGGTAAGAGTCATATGTGATAGGTCATCCACAGTATTATCTCATGAATTACATAATAGAGATAATTTCCAGTAGATCAAATCACAGCCTACTATGATCTACTTTCCTGCCCTTCTCTTGGAAAAATGTCTTCCCTTTTCTGAAAACCAGTAGAAGCAAGGATAACTCCCAACACCACAAAAGTCTTTATTTAGTTTCCTGGTTTTCTCACACAGTGTTATCTACTTGGATGTTTCTATCTGCAGCTCAGACACGTGATGTTTCAGACATGCAAAACTATACAGAGGATCTATATACTTTCAGACACAGGCATTTAAGTCCAGATGGAATGCCGCATTTCTGTGAAAACAAATATTGACAGCCCAACTGCATCTGTCACAATAGCAATCTTGCCAATTAACACTACCTATGCAGGAATG